CTTCTGCCTGATGTGGGGCAGCATGGCCCAGATCTCTGGAGCATTCCCCTCATCAGGGGCCTACCAGTTCCCCCATCACCAGCTGTCGTGCTGCCCTGCACGAGTCCTGTGGTGGACCTGCAACAGGTTGGAGGGGGAGATTGTTCCTTCCTCCTTCACACACCAAACCCCTACCTTCCTTGGTCGAGCCTACAGCCTACACTCCTCACTGGAAGAAGACTCGCAACTCAATGTTACCAGCGGAGACCTCCCAGTACATGCTTTGCCACAGCTTTGGAGCAAACCTTTGCCTTCCCTGCGCCGGATTGCAAGGCTGGAGGCTTTGGAGGGAGGATTTTTGCAAGGTTCCCCAAGGACGATGCTCCCTCCACGCTCTTCAGCACAAGGAAAGAATTATCAGCAAGAAAATGGCGGGGGTGGGTGGGTATTTTCCTGCCGATCGTCCTTTCTTTGGGAAGCCCTACATAGATGAACATCCCAAAAATGCTCCCTCTGAAGCCTCCAGCCTTGCAATCCTACGAAAAGAAGGTGGAGGTTTGCGCTGGACTGCAGCAGAGCATTGCATTGAGAGATCTCAGCAGGTAACATTTCTGAAATGTTAACTTTTAAACCGTACTCACAGGAAAATCATGGTTTGACTTTGCTTTCTGTGCAGTGTTGTGCTGAGATAGGTATGAGCTTTCTCCTTCCCTTCTCCCCCCACCTCCAGCTATCCATCTCAGCTTTTGCCTACGACTATCCGTCGGGGGTGGAGGCTCCCTCACAGAGTGTGATTGAACTTCCAACTGCAATGGACCCGGTGGGCACGAGCTTCCCTGATCCAGAAAGGAGGAGCTCGGGGGGGGGGGCTGTGGGGAATTCTGGGAGTGGAAATTCACAAGTCTTAAAGTGGCCAAGTGGCTCTCCATGCTGTCATGGCTTTGTGGGGATTCTTTGCCCTCCTGGCAGTGCTGCTCCCAGCTGCCCTGCTGGACTGTTCCTGCCTGGTATGGGATGAATTGTCCCAGACTGAAAACCTCTGAAGTGCTGCCAATCTACCAGGGCCCCTTCACCTGCTGCCAGTGGAGCCATGCCACCTGTGCCACCTCGCTCACCACTGCCTTTGAGTTGCTGAGCACCGGCCTACCTGCCTACTTGATGCTACAGATGCCAGGCTACATCTATGATGACACCAGTGCTCTTCAGACCCTGGCGGGTGCTGCAGATCTCATGTCAGCTGTGCATGGGGTAGCTCCAGCAGGAGATATGGAGGCTGCTAGGTAGTAGATGGTACTTGGCATTAGGCTGGGCCAGGTGGCTGCAGAGACACCACAGGTGACAGAGATGCCAAGGGTGAGCAGGGCAGCTCCACGCCTGCCTCACACAGCTGGCAAAAGAGCTGCAGTGCCCACCAGGGCCCAAAGAGTGTCCTGGTGGGCTCAGGATAGCTGTAAGCCTGATGCCTGCAAGCACCAAACAGGCATGTAGGCTAGTGCTCAGCAGCCCAAAAGCAGAGGTGGGTGAGGCAGCACGGCTCCACTAGTAGCTGCTTGCAAAGAGGACCTGGCAGACCTTTGGTGCTCTGGAGGTTTTCAATCTGGGACAACTCATCCTGCCCCAGGAGCAGCCCAGTAGGGCGGCCAAAAGCAGTGCTGGCAGTAGGGCGAAGAGCCCCCATGAGGCCACAGCAGCATGGACAGCATGTGCCTGCTACGGCCGACAAGTGTCCCAGCAGCAGACTGGCCAACAGACAGAGCTGGTGGAGTCCGGGGCATGCCAAGAGCTTGGACTGTTGCAGCCACGGGCAAGCAGACAGTGGGATGGAGAGGGCGGGGCAAGTGGTTGCTGTACTCCCGCTCCGGCCGGCCCATGCTCCCTGCCTCCTGCATGTCAAAAACTAAGAACTCCCTGAAAATAAGCCCAAGTGCTTATTTTCAAGCCCAAACGAAAATAAGGCCGTAATATTGTTATCTATAATAAATAGTACATTTATCAATCAGGATAACCATTCAGCAGTGACTCAAAATACAAATATAAAGGGTAGGGATTGGCAAAAATTTCAATCAGCATAAAGATCAACATAATTTTTGTCTGGCCAGTAATTTGAGTCATAATAAAAAGTCCAATTTCATTCACATGTTATATTTGCATTTTAATAATTTGTTCCATAATGTGAAAGCTCTATATTGTCATTTACTTATCTTTTTCTCAACATACACAGTTCCATACTTTGAGAGCCTTTTTTCTCTGGCAACTAATCCCAGCATTAATATGTTCACAACTCTTTATTTTCTGCATTTCTATGAGATTGTCTTCTGAACCCCAGCAGATTCTTCTGCTCTGTTTCTTGGGTTCAGGATCATTCCTCTTTAGACAGCAACAAAGTTTGGTTCTTTCAAACTGGATTTTCCCTTGTATCAACAAAGTCTGAAGCCATCTGGCTTTGAAAAAGTGATCAGCCAAACAGCTGGTGGGAGAGTGGCCGAGATAATGCATAATTCTTTGATTCTCACTCAGGATGCAATCTTTCTACTCCATCAGCTGTTAATCAGGTAATTTTTAAACATGAGTTTAGATACTCATCCCTTTACTTGCTTTCTGTTCTATCTGATATAATCACATATGTCTGCATTTGCCACAGACATTTCAATATTAAACCTGGATCTTTGATATTAGGGACCAAAATCTGGAATGATGATCACCCTGACTCATTAGAGTAGATGGTGCCATTACTTAGTAGTATGACAGATCCAGAAGCCTTAATTTCAATCAAATACATAAATGCACTCACTTTTAAATCTTTCCATCATGGCTACTGCTTACATATTACCTACTCCTCAATTTACAATAAAAAGTCTTCATTAACTTGTTTCAGAGCATTCATACAGAAAGTCCCAAAGGTATTTTTTCAAGAGGCAACTGGCCTTTCTGGTCTTTCTTTGAAAATGTTTCACTTCTCATCCAAGAAGTTTCTTCAGCTCTGATATAGAAATATAGAAATTCATATAGAAAGCTTATAACTGGTTAGTGTTCAGCCTTCGTTCTTAAGAAACGTACCATAATTAGTGAGCAATATTGCTTAGTTTTCTGCAGTGTTATGTTGAAACAGTGTAACCAGTTTGTCCAGATTTCAGTTTTATCAAAGAGGAAAAGAATAATAATCATTAAGTAACTGAATTAGCCTAAAAATAACTTGCATATTTTTCCATTTGATAAGATTACTGGAATATATGTATCAAGCAATAAACTGCATCAAAATATTAAGAATTTAATTGTACACTTCAGAAAGAACCCATATAAAATGAGTTTCCTATTACTGCATCATAATACAAGTAAGGATTAATAAGTCAAGATACATTTTGATGGATCAACAACTGCATTAGATCACTTGTTATCAATAAAGAATATATAAATAAAAGCAATAGTCTTTAAAATACTAATTCTACATTTCTTTGTGATATTTTTGGAAGCTTACCCCACTGAATCCCTAAGCAGCATTACCATATAAATATGCTTAAGATCAGTAAAATAAAGTAACCTTTTAAACAATAGATGGACAATTATAGAAGAAAAATTCACATCTCTCTATCTCAGAATTGTATGTATATTCTATTAAGACAGCCAGTTTGCTGTAGTGATTAAGACACCGGGTGGAAACTGGGAGACAGGGAGTTCTAATCCCACCCTAAGCATGAAACTAGCTAAGTGATACCTTGGGCCAGTTATTTTCTCTCAGCCATGGAGGAAATAGGCAATGGCAAACCACTTCTGAAAAACCTTGCCAAGGAAATTGCAGGGATTTGTCCAAGCAGTTGCCAAAAGTTAGTACTGATATGAAGGCACTATATACATATACAATATGATTTTAATCTTTTTACTGAGCTAACTTTCACCATCTAGATAAATTGTTTCTGGAGACTACAGCATTGCGTAGAATGCAAAATACTGCCTCACTCCCTACCATAACTACTATTGCAAGCACTGTAACTCCATAATTCTATAATGTATGCATTTGGAAGAGGCTGGCCCAGGTTTCTATGTTTCAAAGAGCAAAAAAATGAAGGGACAGTGTCCTGGGCTTTCCAAAGAACTTAGTATTAGGCAGATTATTGCAGCAGTTATGTAAAGATAAAAATATATTCACATCAAATAAAATCATAGATTTATTGTGCTCTCTTAATGAAGTTCTCTGTCTAGATAATTATTTGCAAGGAGCTTCTAATAACACAAGCTTTTACACCTACAACATCTCATTGCACAAAGGAAGACTTCACTTCATTGTTGGTCAACCTCATGATCTTCATATCTGTTGGACTATAAATTTCATTTTATCCAGTTAAAGAAATCCATGTTGCAAAAATGTTCGTATGTTAGATCACCTGAATGGTTTGTGATAGGGTCAGTAACAGAAAATTGTTATTCAGGTTGGGGAAGGAGAGACAGGCTCTTATTTTTTTACCAAGAACAAAGCAATGAAAGAAAGCAAAGATGATTTTAGCAAGGAAAGGGAGATTTCAGTGGAAATCAAGAGTCAACTCCACAAAAAAATATTTTCAAAGACCCTGTAAGCGAGTTGGTTGCGCTGGAAATGATTTGACCATTACGTGACCTCAACTTGGCCAGGAAAGAAGCAAAAACCGGGACGCAGTAAGCGTCGGGGGTTTACCGGCCATAATACATGAAAAAGGGGGAATCGAAAAGAGAAGGATTTTGGGGGACGAGGAAAACTAGAGAGGCCAAAGATGGTCCAGGATAGCCTTTCCCAAGCTGGTGCACGACATATGCGTTGAACGACAATTCCCACGGCAAGCGCTTATTACAACGGGGCTCGTCGTTTCGCAGACTCAGAGTCCCTAAACTGGGGGAGGCTCGACCCAGGACATAGCCGGAGAAAACATCTTGTTAATGGGAAGAAAAAGAGAGGGGGCGCCAGAGACACCTTCATACTAGGGCTTCTTTCACCCCCTAGAGGGGCACGAAATTAGAAGTATTTTTCCGCCAACCATTGGCCGCTCACTCACAGCTTCAGCTCCTCGTAGGCGGCGGCTGCCGCGGCGGCTACCACCTTAGTTCCCATTTGCTCCTTCGTCCGCCGCGCAGTTCCGATCGGGCTGTATCTGCTTTCTACTTAGAATTCCTTCCTTACTTCCCGTTCACTTGGCAGGCGCACCTGGGCCTTCAAGACGGTACACCACTTAGGACAAACTTAATGAGAAAGCATTCCACGGCTTCCCAAAGAGCGATTCAATGACTCGGGAAGCTGGGATTGGTGGAATCTGTCGTTCTAATCACGCCAACCTATACTAGATGAGTTGGGCGGGAACCACAATTGTGACGATAGCTCCGGCTCTAGGCAACGCCGAATAGAAAGCGACCTGGTATTGACCATCATCCATTGTAATTTAGATTTATAGAAGTACAGCTGCTCCCAATTAAAATCTAAGACAATGTTTTTCAACCTTTCCAGCTTGAAGATGTTCGGACATCAACTACCAGAATTCCCCAATAACATGTTGGCTGGATAATTATGTACGTTTAAGTTTATACATCTTCAAACTGCCAGGGTTGAAAAATACTGCTCAAAAATGAAAGACTATCGATTGGTTTGATTGGTTTTTGATCTACCAAGAATTCCCTATGGTACCACCTTCAAGAAACTTGTGGATGGAATTTACAATGCGCCGCAATTTAAAATACAAAGTTTTCAATTTTTCTTCATCGTGGGCTAGTGGCTTAATGGATAACGCGTCTGACTACGGATCAGAAGATTCTAGGTTCGACTCCTGGCTGGCTCGATGCTAAATTTTTCTTAAAATCTTTAATTCATTGAATATGATGTTTCATATATTCTTTAGTAATGCAGCTTATAATTCCTAGACTAATGGCAACTTAGCTATTTATTTTACTTCAATATTGTTTGTACACCATGCCTGGCAGGGATATAAGTATTTAGCATGGCTTTAGTACTAAAAAGTATGCTGTGTTCCTACACTGCTAAACTACACATTGTGGAGGCTCAGACGTTTCACAGCTGTCGGGTGCCCAAGACCAGGCAGAAAAGAGCAGGGGGAAGACCATCCAAGTCCAACTGGTACAAAATGTAACAACACAAGCAATAATGGGTGCCTCCCAATATGTTTACATTATCACCACTGGTGTAATGATTACCACTTGGGTTGTAAGTACAATTCAAGATGCTGGTCATCACCTATAAAGCCATATATGGCATAGAACCTGGATACCTGAGGAAACACTTACAGTTTCTGCCCAAAGAGTAGGTATATTCCATATCTCTTCTATTAAGTGTACAATCTCTTTAGATATTATGGCAGCTTCATCATTCACAATATATATCCAGTTTGATGATGCCACAATTTGTAATAGCATTTTTCCTCTTCATGACTCAAAAGCATTTATTGAAACATCCAGTTTCATTTAATACCAATATAAGAGAATATTGTAGCTCAGGGTTGAATAGTGGGGTCCTTGGTGCTCTCTGGGCTTGGTGGTTTCTTGCGGACATTTCATTATCCAACTAGGTAAGACCATCAGTTTAATAATAGCACATTTTCTGTCCGATGTGTGTTCAGAGTTGACAATGTGCAAATGTATTAATGTATACAATGTAAGCTTTCTTGGACTGCAATTTCCCCTCATTAGTTCTGCTGCTAAGTTTCTTATGAAATGGGAGACATGTGAACAGCAAATATCAAATATGCATTTGTTGCATTTATTCCTAAAAGAAGAATATGGCAGAAGCCATGTTCCACAATGTACTTAAGGCCACAAGAAAAACTAAATGTTTAAGGGAATTCAATTTACTTAAGGGAATTCCATTTACTTAGAGATTTTTAAGTTAATATTTGTGATTATTTGCATCAAGTCAGTATTGACACTTAATGACTACAAACATTTTCTCATTGTAATCATTTTATATTTTCCATCCATGTGGAGGGTTTTTTTGGTAAAAAGAGTAGTTCACCATTGCCTTCTGCCAGACATTTTCCTTAGCTGAGGTAGCTTTTGAATATGGCTGATCACTGGGGAAAACATTTTTGACACCCACTCCCAACATTCTTTGCTTATTCCTCCCAAAAACACACTTCACTCTCACAGCCACAATGAGACAACATAAGTTATAGATATTATTTCCCATGTATTTAATAATTTTACTTTGTCTCATTTAAAATTACAGTTGGGCGCAACATTTTTAAAGGATTGCTTTAATGCTTTGGGAAACAATGCAAATGTGAAAAGAACCTTTAAATAACTGTCTGTATTAAAGCTGGAGAGATGGCAGAATTACAGGAATTAGTATTGCTGCTTGATTACTATTTTGCATGTGTACTTGTACAAAATGGAAATATATTGAATGTTGATCAGTCTTACAATGTTAGATTTTATTATCAGGGATTTAAACTATGCCATTGTGCAGCTGTGATTTACATGGAAAAAACAATCATACAAAATAATTTTAAATGTTTTTATTCTTAAATCCTGAACACATAAAATCTTAAAACCCGAACACATAATTTTAAGCTCTATGGGTCTTTATGAAATTTCATTTTTTAGTAAACAAAAATTTAGTGCAAGTCTAGAATCAGTGATTTCCCTTCCCCATTTCTAAGCCTGAACACATTGGGAAGAGAAAACAGTTTTCATTCATCCGGAAATAATTTTAAATACCGAACACAGGGCTAGAGAATTTTATGATCTTGAGTTGCTGCTTAAATAGAACGCTTACCACCTCTTACATCAAATTGGAGGTCTCAGGGATTTGTAACTTAGTTGTCTGGGATAGGTTTCTGTTTCTCCATCCATTAGAGAACTCCTTATCGAACCCACCCCTAAATGACCACAGGAAATTTGGGGATTACAAAAGGCGCCCATTAAAGAGCCATGCAGAGATGAATTCTACTGTTTGGGTTTTTTTTTTTCCTTTCCTATGCTCTAGAGCAGGGGTGTCCAACCTTGGCAACTTTAAGACTTGTGGACTTCAACTCCCAGAATTCCTCAGCCAGCAAAGCTGGAGTTGAAGTCCACAAGTCTTAAAGTTGCCAAGGTTGGACACCCCTGCTCTAGACAGCTCTGCCCCGCTTATTTTCTCCACAAGGGTTCCCTTCATTATTGCATTCAAGCAATGAACCTGAAATCTGAACTCTGATTATCATGCAGAGGAGGAGCTTCTTTTAAAACGGCCCTCTAATTAAATCCTGATTTCCGGAAGAGAAAACGGAGAGGCGGTGCTTCCGGCCATTCATTCAACACTCGGCCAGAAGCGCGCCAATATCTTCCCTTCACGAGTAACGGAAGCGGTCTAGTTTCAGGTGGCTGCGCTAAGCTCAATTTTTTTTATCATTCCTTTTGGCTTCTCACTCTCGGGGAGTCCTCTGTATCTAGTTTAGCAGCTTCGAATTGCGCCTATTGCCTTTCCGCCATGAAACTCGTGCGGTAAGTATCAGCTCTTCGGGAAAAGCGGGGACAGTTTAGAAACACGTTGGGCCAGGAGGCCCTGGCTTCTTTTCATGGCCGCCTCCCTTTCTCTCTTCCCTCCCTAGACCTGCGTTTCTTCCGACGCGCTGAAGACCTTTTGTTATCCTGTTTTCCGGGACAATTTTGAAATGGAGAATCAGTATTACACTTAAATGTTTTCAGAGTTAGCAATTTGCTTCAGTAGGTAGCCATTCACTAAGGGCCGCGTAGCTATTTCTAGTACAGAGTAGACAGCGAAATCCTAACGTGGGTAAAAATAAGAAAAAAAAGCTATAGTTGCTCAAATAGCAATATTTTACAGATCTGATTTTAGACAACCTTATTCATGTGAGTGATTATCTGCTCATTTGTGTATACCACCATATGCTAAGGCTCAGTCTGGTAATTGTAAGGCTGCACCTATTAATACTATTGGGCAAGCACAATCGATGTTAGAACAGATTATAAACAAATTATGTATATAGAGGTTGTATCATAAATGCCCATTAGGTACCTAATTAGACAATCCAGCAAGTAATTTAAGCTGTACCTAGCAGACATGAGTATTATAATTTGAAATAGCCAAATCACCAGGCTGTTATATTAGAGAAAGTTTAAAATACTGCCCTGTAAATATAGCTGGACCTTTTCCAAAGCCTGTTTTAATGCCTTCAAGCAATCTTAGAAGGGAGACATTTTTGCAGGCACACAGAAGTTTGTCCATACAAATCTGAGGAGTTTAAAACATGTTTTTATCATGCAGGTTTTATTCTGATATACGTATTAAGCATTTATGAATCATGGACTAAGTCTGCAAGTAAACATTGAATAGAAAAGATAGCACTGGCGATATTGCCTAGTTGCTTAATGAAACATTTGCAAGAAAACCAACAAGCTTAGAGAACACTAAGGATTCCACAATAGAATAAGTATTTTGCTATTCAGCTAAAACCTATTTTTATTTATCACAAAATTGAAGAACAGAAGACAAAGCTGTCCCTCTCCTTCCTTATTTCTACTGACATTAGATTCATTGGTTGAGAAACTATAACAAAATAAAATTTCAGCAATCAAACTAGCAAACCAAAAAAATAAAATTAAGATCATGCAGATGATCTTAAGAGGAAAAAATATTTGGTACTTCAGAATTTAACAAAAAAGTAATAAACATTAAATGTAAAGATACTTATTTGCAGACTTGAAAATAGAATACCTGATTTCCTTAGATGGAAACATTTAAATTGTTTCAAATAAAAATTGCAATGATAAAAATGAACATTTGGCCTAATGTGTTAATTTCAAATTATTTTGGAAAAAATTGAAAAAAATATTAAACAAGTGGAAAACAATTTTAGTTCTAGTTATTTGTCTAGAAAAGTATCAAGCTTAGATTTTACAAGTCTTGAAAGGTGGATTGAGACCAAGTTATTTGAGGGACTGCTTCTCCATTTCATCTTCCCATCTTATCAGATCTAGCAGAGGGCACATTATGGTTTCTTACCTAGGGAACTTGATAGGCCCTAGGTGACAGAATTTTTCTGCTATTGTGTTCACACTGAAATCTCTCCCCTCTGGTGAGGTTATCTTGGTCACTATTGAGCTTTGAAGAAGTCGCTCAAAACCTGGTTATGCCAACTGGCTTGGGGACCCTACAGGAAGAGCCACTATTTTTAACATCCCTTTCTTTAATTGGTATATTTTATTGTTATACTTTTTAATCTATTAACTGTTTTAATTCTATTGATTTCTGCCC